AAAAACGAATGATTAGATCGAATGACGTCACTGTCATTTTGGTGTGCGCTGAATCATTCATTTTCATTGGTTACATTTTAAGTAACATGCTAGACGCGTGCTACTTGCCACGTGCCACGTCAGTTTGGTGGGCGCTCTCACTTAAACAACAATTTTTTGAAGAAAAAACATAATCCAGCTAAATCTGGTAGCTGCCTTAATTCTTGCAAGAAAAAAAGTAAAATATTGCGCATCTACGAAATGTGCATTCATTTGTGAACGCCATTCAAAATCAAGTACATAAGTACAACCTAGTTAAAATCTGTTTTTTTATTTTATGAAAGAAATTGCTACATTAGTACAAGATCCCACTGCAGCATCACTAGGTTTCCAAACTCACATTTTTACATACATTTAAAATTCGTAAATATAATGGACTGCTGGCAGTATGATTCTTCCAGAAACAAGCACAACCTAAAAGGAAATCTAAAAGACATTCTAGGTGTTCCAAACAGTTTTGACAGTGTTCTGTCAGTCAAAAGAAACAAGTTTAATTCAGCTAATATAAACAGTGCATAGTGATAAGCTCTAGTGTTTTAATTTAAAAACAAAATAAATAATTGTTGTATATAAAATATGTATAATATTGTAAACTGTTCCCGTGTTAATGACCATAAGCTTCTTGGACCACATCTATAACATGTTTTCCTGAATAGTTACAAGACTAGAAAAAAAAATTGGATTTCTACCAGCCCCGAGAACGAGCTGGCTTCCGCTCAAAATTCGGAACAAACGATCACCTACAAACAGTAAAATCCTAAATAGAAAAATCGATAAAATATAACAGATCACTGGTACTTATCTTCGTAGACTTTCACAAAGCTTTCGATACCGTGGAATTAGACAATAGTAGAATAAACTGTACAGAACTGTACTGTACTGTAGTACTGAACAATAGTAGAATAAACTACCGGCTTACAAAGTTAGTACAAACATTGTACCAAAATGCCACAATGCGTGTAAAACTACATGATACTACATGGGTGTGAGACAGGGCGACACTCTCTCACCTATATTATTTATAACGGTTCTCGAATACGCCTTTAAAATGTTTAAGTCGGAAAATAGAGGAATAAAAATAGACAAGGATATGCTCAACCATCTGCGTTTTGTCGACGATATAGTACTTATTACCGAAGATCTGCGTGAAGCACAACAAATGCTACAAGAATAAGAAAATGTATCTTCAACAATAGGTCTAAAAATGAACATCGCTAAGACCAAATTTGTGACCAATTAGGTTCCCAACGAACACCTAACCATCCAAAATCAAGTGGTAGAATTGAGAGAAAAGTACATATTATATCTCTGCCATGAAATCAGAATAAGCAAGGATAATCAGACCTGTGAATTTCAACTTGCTTGGCGTAGGGTTCACTAATAGAACATATTTAGGAGCAACATCCCAATAGCTATGAAACGGAAGAAATTTGACAATGCGTTCTTATTATGGTATATGGAGCAGAAACTATTACTCTCACAAAAACAGCACTAAAAATATGAGTGGCACAAAGGCACATGAAAAGATCGATCTCAGCGTGACAAAAAAAGACAAAATAAGGAACCAAGACCTAAGGAAAAGAACAGGTATCATTTATGTCGTCGAATGTATAGCCAAGCTGAAATGAAATTGGACAGGTCACACAGCGAGACTAAAAGACTCAAGATGGACCAGAAAACTAATTGACTGGCGCCCAAGAGAAGACAAACGCAGCAGAGGACGACCACCAACAAGCTGGATGGACATTAAACGAATATCCAAGAAATGGGAACAAGACGCACAGAACCGTGAAGAGTGGCGAAAAATGGGAGAGACCTATGTCCAGCAGTGGACAGAAGAGGTTGCATGATGATGCAGCATGAATGAAGTATTAATAAATTTTATGCCTGGGATATAAGGGTACCAGAATTTGAGTCGGGAGACTAAGGGTTAAACCTAATTTTTTTCTTAATATGATGATATAAGGTTGCTTGAGAAAAAAATGGTCGAAAATTAGGGTTACCAGCTTTTAAAAATACAAGGTATCAAAGATAAAGTAAAATAGAGTAAGGGCGCAACGACACTGGTTTTACAAGTGATAATATGTATATTATATATCGATGTATGCTTTAAAACTTACACAACTGACACTTCAAACCAGTAGCGTTCCGCGCTAGCTGTCTTTTATTTTATCTCTGATACCTCGCGTTTTTAACAGATTGCGACTAATTTTCGATCATTTTTCTCAAGCAAACATATATTAAAAAATTAGCTTTGATTTGATATAAAAAAAACATGCTTATGTGTCATGAGCAGCGTAAATTTAAATATATTTAAATTTAATATTTTATTTAAAAAATATATAAACGAAGTAAAATTTTTGTCAAAAATTAATTACTATTAATAATTGAATTTAAAATATTTGTGGCCACTTTTTGACTGGCAATCTATTATCAATGTGTTGTCCTAATTGTAAATGTATGTAAAAAAGCTGATATTTAATAAAACTTTATATGAATCAATGCATGGCAAACTGTAAAAATGAAATTTGAATAAATTGTAATGATGAAATTTACCTCTCGTGAATTTATTTTATTTTTATATGAAATTAGCAGTTATAATTTCATAAACAATAAAACAAACTTAGATGATATAAAATTAATTTTGGTAGCAGCAACAATTATGTCACTTTACCATAGACAATAAGTTATGCAAATTATTACAATTTTTTTTATGTAAGTTTACTTACCAGAAGAATTTAAATAAGCTGTAAATATTTTGACCAGCACAATACAAAATCATGGAAAATTTAAAAAATTTACAAACTCGCTATTTTCCATAACTATAATATATTTTATTATTAGTGTTATTTTTTTTGTAAAATTTTCTTAAGTATCTCGATCTGAGCTCAAAGTTCAACTATTGAGGAAATATGCAAAATTTAAGTTACTCCAAGTGGCATTTTAACCCTTCTAAATAGCATTTACTTAATACTACATATTATAAGTTTACAAAGAATATCAAAATTTTGACATGGCAATTGTTTGTTAAGCAGGAAATTTTAAACCTAAAATATATATTAACTATCTTAAATGGGAATTCATCAGAGTTTTAGTTAAAAATATGTTCATTTTGACATTTTGATTTCTATTTCCGAAATTGCTCTTGAAATACAAATTTAATTTGTAATTTGACAACAATTTCCGAAGTGGAGATCAAAATGTCAAAAAACATATTTTAACTGAAATTGTAATTCCCATAAAGATAAGCACTAACACGCCACAAGAAAATAACCTCTGAATAACTTAAAACATATTTTTTGGAAATTTTCGTATATATTCCAGAAAATGTGCTAAAAATAAACAACATATTTTAACCTTGAATTCCCAAAAACATGTGAACAAAATTTAGGACCTCAAAGTGGGTCAAGTTACTAAATGTCACTCTCAATTGAAATATAATTACTTATATAAAACATTATAATATATATGGGTGTGTTTGCATAACTTGAAACCATATGGGAAACATTTTTATTATTAATTTTACAAATAAGTTATTTTTCATAAAAAGCTCTGCATGGACCAAACCCGAAGATGAAACCATCATATATGGCATTTGATCAATTTTATGATTTCATTTTCATAATTGTTTTTTGACATACCTCATAATCCATTGAGAAAATTTGATATCTGATAGCTGCATCTTAGGTTTTCGATCAGGCAGAGTTTTTTATTAAAAATAACTTTTTTTTATAAAAAATAATAAAGAGTTATCATAATAAAAATGATATTGAGTATGGGTAATTTGATTTTAAAACATACTTTTTAACTTCAAACAACTTAATAATAATTTTCAATATTGTGAAATATAAAGGGACTTTACTCTTGAGCAAAACTCTATTCATATTCAAAATTCATATTTTTGACATACCTTGACATTAATAAAATTTGATATCTGATAGTTACATCTACCATGCAGGGCATTTTAGGAAGAATAACTTTTTTTCATAAAATTAATAATAAAAAGGTTTGCCAGATGATTCAAAGTTACGCAGGACACAGTGTATATATTCTATCTATTGGGATAATAAAAAAAGAAGCACTAAAAAATATATCTATTCTGGACTACTGTTTTTAATATTGTTCTAAATTAATTAACAAGAAAATTATTTTTTTTTTTATTCTAAAGTAAGTATTTAAGAGCATAGGCGCAAAATTTGAGGCCTATGCTTTTAAGTAAATGTATTCATTTTTTTTAAATCCTGATAAGTATTTTTGAAAAATTTAAATGCAGAATGAAAAATTACATTATTACTGAGGGCCGAAAGTTCCTGAAATTCTATAATGTTTGTTTTAGTAAGTTACAGGGGTGAAAAACAAGAGAAAATTGAGATATTTAATTACAAATATGTCATTCAAAATAAACTTTTTGTTTATTCTAAGGGACTTTCGGTCCTCGGTAATAATGTAATCTTTCATTCTGCGTTTAAAATTTTCAAAAATATTTATTAGTTTTCTCAGGATTAAAAAAAAATAAATGCATTTAAAAACAATTGGCCAAAAATTTTTTGCGCCTACTCTTAAAAGTAAATTATGCAAATTATTATTATTATACAATTAACAAAGTGCTCATGAGATTTGAATAAAAAATCTACAACAGTATTTAAAATATTTATTCACAGAATAAACTGCAGTTTAAAAATATAATCCAACAGTTTGAACATTCAAGTTCTACATTTTGTATCATGTAAAAAGTTTTTGTTAAATTTCTATGGAAAATTATACCCCTTTTAAAAAATTCAAATGTGACACAACCCTGTACAAATGAATCTACTTATCTTTCCAATGAGTAAAATTATTTAACAATTTCTACTGCTAACAATTGTTCTGGTTTATTTAATTAAAATTTACTTTGTTTTTTGTTATTAAAAATTAATTACAAATATAAACCTTCTTACTGTGGTTTCAAACTCGTAACAGTGTTAATTTGGTGATCTGGATCTGCTTCTTGATTTACTTCTTTCCTTGCTTTCTGATCTAGACCTAGATCTTGACCTGGATCTTTCTTTGGAGGCTTCACGGGATTTGGAACGCTTGTCTGGAGTTCTAGAATGTGATCTAGAACGGGAATGATCACTTCCTACTGACTTCTTTCGTGAATTGGACCTGGATCTATCAGACTTTTTGCGAGAGTTGGACCTCGAACGAGACCTAGACTTGGATTTTTCTCGGTCGTCTTTAGCACTTTGCGACCGTGACCTGGATCTTGATTTACTCTTGGAGCGGGAACTGCGACTACGTGACCTGGAACGTCTTGCTGAACGGCTACGACTTCGGGATCTGCTACGGCTGCTATAAGATGCTGAGCGACGCGATTTGTTGTTCTTTTTGTCTTCGACCAGGCGGAGTTTCCTACCATTAAGCTCAGTATCATCTAGCTTTTCTATAGCATTTTTCATATCAGAATATGAAGCAAACTCAACCACTCCTTCATTGCGATGATCTTTATGGGCATCTGCATAGGTAACTTCCCCAGCTTGGCGCATATAATCCTTTAAATCTTGCCAACTGATGCGGGAGGAAAGGTTTTCCACGATCAACCTGTAGTTAGTGCGGGTGGGGGGTCCATATCTGTCATTATTTGAGGAGCGGCGATCGTCATTTCTACTGCTTCTGCTGCTGCCACCTGATGCATACTGGTCTCGACCTCTAGGAGTGCCTCTTGCCCTCTCAACTGTAACTCGCTCCCCTAAAAGTTTTTTACCGTTTAATTCATATACAGCATCATCAGCATCTCTATAATCGTCAAATTCAACAAACCCATATCCATTTTTAATTAAAACATCTCTCATACGGCCGTATCCTCGAAAGAATCGCTCCAGGTCCCGCTCCGATGTACCATAGGGCAGACCACCTACATACACTCTAGACCCTACCATCTCTAAACTAAAACTTTATCAAAATCCAGCTCTACTCTAAAAGTGTCCAGGTCCCCCTTCGAGTATTCCACTTCGCAAAGGTAGAGTCCGTGTGCCGGTAATGTTTTTATTTGTGGACACCAAGAATGTCGTGATGGAACCTCTAGCATTAATTTTATATCCCTAAGCGAAATTTTACCTTGTGCTAATGCTATCAACGCTGCCACAGTCCTTCGTACCTGTATACAAAAAAAAACTATTTGTACTAATTATATCATACCTTTCCAATGGCATTAGATGGAGCCATTTTGAAATATTTCCCTCCAAGCCCACCGGTCACATTTTAGGTTAAGCAACGTGTCGAATAGCTTTCTCGACTAATTATTTATATGAAAAATGGATTCACACTACTATATAATAGTGAAAGATATTTACTTGCGTATTTTGAGGTATTTTTGACGATCTTGATGTACTAGTAAACAAAATAACTAATTGAAATAACTACACCACGCTGTAATTTACAGCGCAAATTAGGAAAAGATACTTCGTTTTTCGCTTCAGGACAAAAGGAAATATGTCATGTCACGACATTGTCATTTGTCGTCCACTGTTGCCAATTCAATATTAAACATTCTGGCAAAACTGTCGTAACACGGACACAACTACCCAATAACGTTTTGTATTAATATAGAGAATATACATATTGAACTGATTATTTTGTTAAAAATAATTTAAACTGGGACAGAAAACACAAAAAATAAATAACACAACAAAAAATAAAATAGAGAACAAACAAATTTGGAAATTTAAAATATAAAATTAAAGTTTTGTATTGTTTAAAAATTATAAGCTGTTCAGTTGATTAAAAAACACTTAAGGAAATTCTTATTATAAAAAGAAAACCTAAACTGAAAAACTAAATCTAATAATTTTTGACATAGCGTAAAATATTTCTTAATAAAAAAATGTGCGTGCGTTATAGTCATCGAGCAAAAAGACAAAAGAGGGAATGTAAAGGTAGTGGGGGCAAAAATATTGTTAGACAAGAAGTGCGATCTTTAGAGGCCACATTAAATAAGAAGAGAGTCTCTCTCCTTGTTTGACATCAAATTTAGTTGGGTTATGTTGTTGTTTGTCCCAAATGTCACATGAAATCTTATTTATATTGAAGTTTTTTAACAATGTGTCGCATTTTAGACTATTACCGTTAATAATTAATTAAAACTTTCTCGACTAAGACACATTCTGAAAAATATTATATAGCTACTGTTAATAAGTGTCGGAAAATTTAAATTTGGCGCATTCGCATTTCCGGATATGTCCGCCATCAGAGGCCACTTTTTTGGTCTCCTTTTCAAAAGGATTAGATTCCCTCTTTTGTCTTTTTGCTCGATGGTTATAGTATTATACTGTTTGTAAGGAATATTTTATTTTATAAAGTGCTTATGTTATAAAATAAAGTGAATATTGAAAATGGCAAATAGCAGAAACGTTGAAGCAATAGTTAAGCATTTTTATTTACAACAGACCGACAAACCCAGGAAATAAAAAACGGGTGTGGCAGTCCAGTGGGACTGCCGGTAGAAGTTATACTTCTATACACGTGTTCGCCGTTACAAATTTATATGGGAGTCAATCTGCACAATCATTACATATGCAGAGCAGCAAGAGAAAAAGAATTAGTTATATAGGTATATGGTGCATAGTTTGCTGTATATAAACATTTGACCTGTAATAGGAGTATAGTAAATGAAGGATTGTATCAATATTTTAATGAAAATATATATTTTTATTTTCATATATGTATAAAAGGAGTTGAATGCAAAAAAAATTTTCCACATACTCTGCAAGGAAATTTATTGTTTATTTTGTTATTAACATAAAAATTGTTCAACTTGGTATAAACAAAGCATACAAACGGGAATTTTTTTGATTATTTAACGCGCAAAATATCCTAAAGCGCGCTCTCGATCAAAGAAATACCGAAGATATACCCATCTGTGTTATATAAACAAACTTTAAAATGTGTTTATTATCAATTCCAGCGATGCAAAAGGATTGAAAATACTTTTTCGTTGTTTTAATACTTCTTCTTTGAGTACGTGCCCAAGTTTTAGGCGTGGGTAGCTTCCATGACGATTTGCCGATATCGTTCTCGATCTTGAGCGGCATGTAATAATTCATCTGCTGATAAGCCAGTACATTGACGAAGGTTTCGGAGCCACCAATTCCTCTTCTTCCGTCGATCTTTCCGTTGAGTATCAACTGCATTATCCTGTATCTACTTCTTCGCATTATATGCCCCAGATATTCGAGTTTTTACTGTTTTTTCTGTTTTAATACATACAAGGTGATTTCAATACATACGAAAGAAAATAAAAATGCTACAACTGAACATGACTTTTTTCCATTGTTCAGGTGTTCAATGCTGATACCTTTTACAAAAATCTTATCTTTTTTTCTTCATTGCTTTTGTAAACAAGGGCTTCTTTGCAAGCTGTTGACGAATCGTTCTTGTTGAAACGTTCTGAAGATCAGGATGTTTATTTTTGAGTTCTGTGGCAGTTATAGAAGGGTTCAACATTACTTCACGCCTGATAATGGTGTCAGTACTAGATTATGCTTTTAAGGAGCTCCAGAACTAGGTTTTCATTCCGGAACAGTCCCTGAAGGCAACGACGCAGCGGTCCGTTTCAATTGAAACACCAATATCACGTTCTACGGTAATTAGAATCCCCTTCTCAAGTAACATTAAAGCACAAACTTTCTCCTGTTGTGTGTTTCTTTTGATCCATATTTTTCACTTCAATTTAGACTTTAACGATCCCAAACTTTACTGAGTAAATAAAAATAAGTTAACACTGACTACTTGCACAAAGCTAACTGTGTACAGTACAAACACGCAAAATAAACTAAAGAAACTAAGCGGTTAGTAAACTACAGACAGCCTCGCTCGCAAGTACGTTATCCCCTCTCCCATCAAATGCTAAACAAGCGCAGACAGACCGCATCGTCCGCGGCAAGAAAAAAGCCTGGGTCTGAAGACAACAATCCGGTATGTGCTAATAGGGCTGAAGTACTGTGGAAAACAGGCAGGAATAAGCTCGGAGTCATATCAGGCTTCCTTACTGGAAATGTGTCAGTTAAGAAACACCTGCATACAATGGGACTGTTTCATGGAGACTTAAGGAAGACTGTAGCAAAGAACCTGAAACAGGCAACCATATCTTGCATGACTGCGAGGCATTGGATCAATCACAGGAGGCAAACACTTTTTGGAGATAACGACGTGATATTTATCAATAATGCCATTTATTTTATAGGCAACTAATTAAATTCATCAGAACATAAACTACCGAAGAACTCCAACATTTAGCTGACATATATCACAATAATGGCCGGTGATCGATCTACTTAGAGGGAGATAGTTGGTCAGGCTTGAACCATCATGAGATATGGCACTACAGAGTGGTAATAATAGTATTTTGTCACTAATTAATATTCAATTATAAAATGTTTACCTGTCGGTATAAAAATCCTTTAGATTTGATATAAACGTCCAAGAATATATAGTCATTCGGAGAAGTATTCGCAAAATCAGGCCAACTATAAGGACTGTATCCGGGTCTACCTGTATAGTTAATATGTATATATTCTAAGACTCTTCGAGTTAATTTATAATCCCGTTGTTGAATTTTTCCCATAAAACTTCTAAAATCATGATAGCCCTCCAATAATTTTGCACCTTCTTTCATTCTCTCGATATCAAATGTATTTGTACTAAAAAAGAAAATTTAAATTATTAGGGTACCTAAATGCGTAAACTTAGCCATGGCAAATATGTGGCAACAATGTATACTAAAGGGAATTCCAGGCAGATCTGCGGCAAATTTAAAAACATCAAAATGATGGTTATTTAGTTAATTGTATTAAAATCGTTAAATCTAGATAAAATAAACTACATTTTTGGTACTAGTGTAGTAAGCCACAAATAATTAACACACTAACATATCTTACCAATAAAACAAACACCTATCCCATTCTTCAATTGGTATATAATTAATATTTGGAGCTGCATGTAGATTTTCAGTTGGAGCTATCATTATTCTATAAAGGTATGTTCTGGACAAAGCATTTTGTCGACAGTGAAAACTCTGAGGAACATTATAAGTTTTCAGTATTCTAATTGGAACCTCATCTTTATTAAAGTATTTATTTAGACACAAAGTTATACTTTTGGGGTGATAGGGGATGTCATTCCTTCTAGTAAGGTCTACGTGACAGATACTATTCAAAGCATTAACCCCAGTGTCCGTCCTAAACAGAACTTAACATGTAGCACTTACAAGGTAACGTATTTTTGTTTACTTTACCTGGAAGACATCTGTACTATAGGATCGTTTGTAGGATTTAATCTTTTTAAGCCCATTTCTAGCCTACCTTGCACAGTTAAAGGGTCATCAGGTCTGGGTGATAGTGCTTTTATTTGCCTTTGAGAGCCCCTGCCAGAATAATTTAGGTTATGTTCTAACAATTTTCACATTAAAAATTACTATTACCTGAAAGGCTTTCCCATATATGCTATATGCAACAAATATCTGAAACTAGTCATAATGTCTGCATTCGCAATGCTTTACACTTGTTAAAAACATGTGGCGGCACCATACATTATGCTATATTTGTTATTGTAGCTGAAAACATAAATACAAAATACAATGTGGTCTTCTTCGTCTTCCCATTTTCATTCAGAGAGATTCTTCTTGTTCCTACATTCACATTTATAGATTTCTACAAAAAATTGATTTCTTTAATTATAAACGTATTAATACTCAAAGATAATCGAATTCAAAAATGTAATATCATAATTTATTTATTTAGTTAATTAGTTCATAATAGGCTCTTGAAACACCCTGTCTGATACAAAATATTTACAAACAAACTCGGATTCTCGCCTCTCGGATACACAAGACAGCATCTGTGTTGCCGGCTTTATGATTTTTTCTTTAAAAAATAATTCCAAATGAATTTTAAATAATTTTTAAACTAAAATAGACACTTTTGTAAACATAAAATGAGACAAAATAAATTCTTGTTGTCTATCTTTTAAATTAAATAAACAATTATTTTATTAAATCAGTTGTAAATTTAAAATATATTGAGTGTCTTCATTACAATATAGTATTTCTAGTTTAGTCATAGTTTAATGCAAAAAATTATTTAGCAATATATTGTGGTTTAGTCACAGTATATTTATATGGTATATTGCTAAAGAAGCATTATAATACCGACTGTGGTTTAGTTTTATTTCTCTATGGGTTTAGTTTTCTAATAAACTAAACGAAAAAATGGCAGTAAAAAATAATGTTGATACTTATTAATGGACACGCAGTTATATATTTAGGTTCAACAATTTGTTGTAAGTAATCCCTTGCTCGTATTGACTTCAAAGAAAGTGAATTATTTAAAAAGAAACAAATGGACTGCCAGCAATCAAATGTCGAAATTAAAAAATAAAGTACGCCACAGACACAGACAGACACATTCCACTGGACTATTTTTAAACTGAAGAAACATGGCGGAGATCGGACATTTTCCGACGAGCCTTTAAACTTTCGGTCGCAAAAATACCCGAAAATCGCACAATATAATAATGTAAAGTTAAATAATTAGTAGTGCCGATAGTGACAAGTGTTAATTAAATTTTGTTTAGAAATAAATTTTGTAAGTTGTGTCTAAATACGACTACATCAATTTTTGGGTGGATTTTAAATTTATAGAAACTGGTGAGTCTGCTGTGATATATCACTGATTTTATTTAAAAATAACTAGTCATATTTATGTCATTTCATTGGCCTTTTATCACCAATAAATTTAGTGATAATTATTATCAGTAATGACGAATATTTACATGATTGTTATGTCAAACTGCTATATTTAAAAATCAGATTTATAATTAGGTTACTGACAACTTTTAGACCTTCGATTGGTGATTTTTAGTTGAGGACTAGAATTTTGACATCAGAAAATAGTATTAAATAAATTCTATATGTATTTTAGAATCTGCAATCTGCCCTAGTTTTTTACTCCTCATATTGATGTGAATGACATTTTTATCCATGATTCACCCACATATTTCACGTGGGTAAAAGCAAGAGGTTTTAGAAACCTTGCTGTACTTTTTTTCCCAGAAAAGAGATTATTCTTAATTTTCTGAATAGGCTTTAAACATATTTAGACATATGATATCATTGTTATGAATGTGGGCCTTCAAGAAAATACATTTTTTTAAAGTATAGGATGGATGCCTGAACTTTTTTTATAGTTTTGTGTAGGAAGGTATTTTTAAAATAATTTTATAGGTATTTTCAACTTCACAGTTAATCAGAATTGACTTTGTACAGTTTTTTTACTTTTATGATTTACTTGAAACCTTTTTTTACTCCAACATATATTGATCTACCCCTCATGAATACTAAAAATCTAGTAAATTCCACTCATTTTTTACCACTGTTGACAATTACACCTATGTCTAGTTGCACTATAAAATGATCAAGTTTTAAAAATACTGCTACAATCCAGTAATGAATAAGTAATGTAATCACTAATTATATCAAAGAGTTTTAAATATTGTAAGTTTACAAACTAACCAATATTTATAACTTACAGTTTTGAAAACAGTTGTTTCATATAGGATACTACATAATACATTTGAAACAAAATCCTCCCACATAACATTCACTTTTTGAACAGTAAATTGTGCATCTGTAACCAGAATATAATCAAAACTGTCTAGGGCCACACTTTGACCATAACTGTAACTAGAAATCTCACATAACAAAGAAAATAACAACCAAATTTAAAAATTAAATCACTTAACTGACTTATTGGAAGACAATCTCATTTGGCAATATTAAAGCTTATTTTGATATGTGGTGCTAACAAAATCCAAATACTTTGAGCAAATGTACTCTTTGTACATATCAATTAAACTTTGCTTATGTAAGAAGTGTTTCCCTTTTGAGTGATACCTCATTTTAAAGCTTTCCAGCCCAAATGATTTTTTTTGAGTAAATTTTGTTGAAAACAATTTATGTTATAGAAAATGATATAAGAAAAAATAATTGGTGATAGCTTTTTCAAAAATTTCGCATCCTACAATCTGCAAACTTAAAAAAAAATTGATCCCATTTGGAATCATCTGGCATTGGTGGTACCTGAATTATATCTGGTAAAAAATTGACCATAATAGGAAATACAAGACAAATAGAGAAATATCACAAAACATTTTAGAATATTGAAAAGGTGTGTAAATATTTTCATCAACCGAAAACTCACCGGTGTACTCGCTGTTTACATCAATTAAATTGTTGTCTGTCCAAGTTGGTTTTTCTGTGCTTTTGTTTTTCTTGGCATGGCTTGTCTGTGGCTGTTGTGTAATTTCTTCAACATTTTTTTCTTCCATATTCTCTGTAACTTGGGTGTTCAAGCTATCTTCAACAATATTTTCCAATAATTCTTCAATTTGAGTTTCTTCAATCATTTCGTCTTCCAAAGCCTCTTCCTCATTATCAACATCGAATTCGATATCAGAATCATCAAGAAGACCAACTAGCTCTTCCTGGGACAGATTTTGCAATTCCCGAAAAGAAACTTTGGTTTTGTTTTTTGATGCGATCATTGAAGAAACAAAATTCACACACGACTTCCCAATGATGCCATTTGGGGACCACCGCAATAGCCCAATGATTCAATTTGGATTCATTGATATTTATAATGTTTACATAAACAATCTTGCAAATATGAGCAAACTATAATGCAAATTATCAAATAAAAACAATGTAAGAAACAAATATATTTTGTTCATGCAATTACTTGTTCAATTACTTACCTTAGTAATGATTTGAAATTTACAGTGAATTGTTGATCGATATGTCACTTTGAAGTTTTACATTCAAATGTGACTAACGCTTACCGATAGAACTGCCAAATAAATTAATGCAGCGTCATCTAGCAGGAAGGTGAAGCAACGCAATGTCGTTCGCCCAACTGATATAAAGTAGTTTTCTATGTCACTAAAGCAGAAAACATTACCATGATCCCAAATGGGATCATCTGACTGGAAAGGGTTAAAGCTTGTTCAATTCTCTTTTCTCACATTTTTTAAATTTAATGGTGTTTAATTTTTGTGTGTGTTGGTTGGATACTTCATGATACATCCAGGGAATAGAATCAAACCAATATAAGCAGTTATGAAGTTTTACCATGACATTTAAGAACAGAAAATTAATCAGAGAAGCAAGTATTGAACAGAAGGTTTGCATTATTCAATATTTATTTACTCATAACATCACAAAATTGTAATAGTCAATCAAAATTGCCTTTGTTTAGTTCTTGTACAAGCTGTAATTGGTATAGATTGAAATTATGGACTTTAATCATTTGAATACTTCATCAATTAACACTAGATACAGCTTCCAATCTACATGAAAATGTCCTCAAAAATCACTTTGGTTCCTTTGTTTCTTATGGGATTGTGAACTTTGTGTTTTCTGTTTCTTATGGGATTGTGAACTTCTGACATAGTTTTGTGGCACTCTACTGTTTTCATGTCACTTGTTAACACATTGACTGTGTAAGGGAAAATCTGTACTTTATCCTTCTCTGTGTTACATATCTCCAGAGATATGTAAGTACACTTAAGTTTTGTATGTTACAAGTCCCCAGGGATATGTAAGTAAAGTGACAAATTTTGACATCTCTGAGCAAAAGTATCTAATTTTATCAAACGAAAATAATAAATTATGGAACCAAAATAAATTAACTTTATTCTGCTTGCTTCATAGCTCAATACATATCAAAATAAATGTGTACCGTTCCCGTCATAAAAAACTGGTACAACTCTTATAATTAAAAATCGTGTTTTTTAAGCTGTGTATGTTGATCTTGTCAAATGTGTCATTCTGATTTCTAGGGCACCGTTGCCAGTTCAACGAAAATATTATATAAAACCAGCTAAAAGCAAGGCTATGTGACAGACCGCCAGTTTTGAGTATACTAAAAACTTAAACATTATCGAGCATTCTCAATCAGTCATTCACATTAAATTTGTTTAAACATGCATCCAAAAAAATTCTCATATTAATTTTGTAATTTTCCTTCATGTCAATTAAATACTCATATATTGATTTATATTTTATAACAATTTATGAAAATATTTCAACTCAAAAATAATGACAGATAATCAATCTAGACAAACTTCAAATTATTATAATAAACATTACAATGAGATATTGGATTGTTACTGTTACGTTTTGAAAAGCGTTTTTTCGCACCGAACATTTTCTAGTATATAATACGTAGGATAAAGTATAATGTCAGTTTTACACATTTTTTATCGTTCTTGTAATAAATAATAAATTAGTCCGGGTAGTTTGCATATTACAATTATTGACACAGAATACAGTTCGAGTTCGGTAGGTAATTGAAATATAAAATTACAGTAGATGCATTCCAATGTTTCCTGTACCAATACCCTAGGTTTAAAGATCCTTCAAACATTTTGAATAATATCTCAACCCTATCTCTGCTTATTTAATTTCTTAGATTCACTTTTTTTCATAATGATAAAAATAATACCCAGAAATTTTATACATTTTTGAACGTTATTTTTTTATTTGGATTTATTGCAATTCCGTTATCTGTAATGGCAACAACGAATTGATTTCTGAACACAGGTTTACATTGGTAAAAAAAAGTGTACCAGTTTTATATGACGGGAAGTGTACCACAAGAAAATATGATTTTTTTTAATAACTATTCTAAGAAAAAGTTACTCATGGTGTTTATTAAAACAAGATAAGCAAATTCCAGGCATATTTGGTCAATGATTACAAAAACTTGTTACACAGAGAACTCTTTTGTCAGCTTCTCTGCCATTTAAAGTTGTTCGTAGTGTTTGGTAACATCCTTTACATGGTTCCTCTTTTTTTGACCTGGACCATCAAGTTTTACAAACATATGAACCCTTTTTCTCATACCATCTACAGGGCGTTGTACTATTTCATCAGATACTGCAAGATTTTCATCTAACTAAAAAAAGAGGTTAATCTTTGTAAATGGGTATATTTATTTAAAAAACCCTTAAAAGGGCCACATCAATAAAACAAACGTTTTCGGACTACACAGTCCATCATCAGGTTATTAAAATCGAAAATGCCTAAAAATAAGTATAAACCATTTAGTTAAAACAAACGAGATTTTGAAATTTTGACTATGGTTGAAAAGCAAAAGATGGTTATACTTACTAGGTCATAATGCCTGAGCCACCAAAATATTAGGGTAAAAACCCTTTAAATTACATTTAGTTATGAAATGTTGTACATTGTGTTATAAAATAACTGTGATGTTCTATATTAAATTAAATTTGACCAAAGGTAACACATGGCTCAATTGGGTTCCAGAGCCGGGTGAGAGACAACCTCTGCACTCGGAGAACAACGTGGAACTGATTGACAAGATACTTTTGAAGGATGAAGATAACAGAATGTCAATGCAACAAAAACTATAAAAGTTGTACATAGTATTACTACAGCCAAAAGATTCAACAAGTTTTGATGATTTTAAAAATAACAACAATCTAGGTGTTGGGATTTAAAAACTTTTTATTTATTAATTTAGGGTATAAAAGATGTCAAATCAATGATGGTTTTATAGTCATGATTAATATAATGACCTGTGCCTTAGGCAACTTATGTTGCTTTTCGTCGTATGGAATGTGGTCTAA